ATTTTTTTAGCTACAATAGGAACAATGTGGCTGAAATTATGTACAACACCTTTTAAAGGTCATATTCTTTTTTTAGATTTTTCACCTTATTTTATAATAGATATATGTTTAGGACCTAAAAATCACAAAGTTTTTGCATTATTAGATTTAGAAGCCTTAATCTATTTTATAGACAAAGACTTTATCAAAAAACAAGAAATATCTTTACTCAAGAAAACTAAAATTATACATGTAGAAGTCAAAGATGATTGTTTGTTATCTTTTAGAAATATTATTTATAATATTGTTTTTTTAGATGTAATAATTAAAAATCATAATATTATAGTAATATTTAATGTAATAAGCTCTTCTTTTAATCTGATTATTTTTAAATTATCATAGTTAAAAAAATATAATCTTTAAATAGATTTGATTTCTTATAACCTTAAATTTTTTTATAGTTTAATCTATAATTTTGATAGTGAAGTAGAAATAAATAAGCCTAGTATATCCAAATCCTTACTGATAGGAGCAAGAGCTTTCATGCATGTGATAAAAGAAGGGCCATCTTTTGTTATATATGCCACATACATTTCTGATGGTGGAAAGATGTCAAGTGGTATTCTTAGCTAATATCAAGTTTTTAAAGATATTTTTGAAATAAAAAATATAAATATTCTTCCAAAGCATCAACTCTATGATTGTTCAATTGTTCTACAAGAAAGAACTCAACCACCATTCGGACCAATCTACAACTTATTGTAAAATGAATTGGCTACAATAAACGAATACATTAACAAGAACCTAGCTAAAAACTTCATATACCACTTAAAATTTCTAGTAGAAGCTTCTATCTTATTTGTAAAGAAAAAAGATGGAGCTTTGTAGATGTGCAAAGACTATCAAGGACTTAATAAGATCACCATCAAGAATAGATATTTTTTAACTTTAATTTTAGGACTTTTTGACTAATTCAATTAAACAAAGATCTATACAAAAATAGATCTATAAGGAGCATACAACTTGGTTCACATTAAAGTAGAAGATGAATAAAAGACTATTTTTTAAATTAAGTATGGATATTTCAAATATAATGTCATGCCTTTTGGACTCACAAATACACCAATTACTTTTCAACATCTCATGAATGATGTTTTTTTGTGAGTTTTTTAATGATTTTTTTATCTATTATTTAAAAAAAATTCTAATCTACTCTGAGAATATAAAAAAATATAAACTTCATATTTGTTGTATGTTACAAAAACTTAAAAATATAAGATTATGTACAAAGATGAAAAAGTGTATATTCTACACTACTTAGGTTGATTTTTTAGGATACATCATTTCAAACAAAAGATAAATAATGGATCCTAAGAAGATCCACACTATCATGGATTGGAAGGACTTAAAAAGAATCTGGGATGTATAATTTTTTTTGGGATTTGCCAAATATTATCTAATGTTCATTAAGAATTTTTTTCAAGTTGTAGTTTTTTTTATATGTTTGACATGTAAAGACAAACTTGAGTAGAGCAAAGAAGCAAAAACATCTCTTGAAGTCTTGAAGATAGCATTTATTTTTGTATGAATCTTCTATTGCATTGATTTTTTTAAGGCATTCTTCATAGAAACAAACGCAACAAATTTTTCTTTGGATATTGTTTATTCATAAATAGGAGGAGATGATAAGCTTCACCCAGTTATTTTTTATCCCAAGAAATTTTCAATAGCTAAGTTTAACTACAAGATCTACAACAAAGAGCTTCTAGTAATTATAGATTCATTTCAAAAATAGTGTCATTATTTAGAAAGCTCTTTTAGTTTAGTTATTGTATATATGGATTACAAGAACCTTGAGTATTTCATGTTGGCACATATTTTGAATCATTGCCAAGTCCATTGGAGTATATCTATATTAAGATTTGATTTCAAGATTACTTATAAACTCAAAAAATAATAAGATTTATCAAATGCCTTTTTTAGATATTCTTATCTTGCACTAAAAGAAAGAGATGCACCTTTTGATCAACAAAGAATGATTTTTTTGATGCCAAAGAATTTTCACCTTCAAGCAATAAAATCAACATTGACTATTGATTTGACATTCATTAAGTAAATTCAATCAAGTATGTCTTTTGATTTGCTTGTTTATAATATCAAGAATAATTCTTTTAAGTCTTATGATACTTCGAAGTTCAAGTTTAAAAATAATCTATTCTACTTCAAAGAAAAATTATACATTCCAAAAAATAAGCATGATTCCGTATTCTTTAAGCTCGTCATGACTTTTTAGCAGTGCAGCATTTTGGATACAATAAGACTTTGGAGCTAATATTTTGAGATTTTTGATGCCATCAAATGTGGAAGGCAGTCAAAAACTTTGTATAATCACATGATACTTGTTCAAGTTTCAAAACTCATTGTCATCAATCTTATGGACTTCTTCAGCCATTACTTAATCTAAAACAACTATGGTCTTCTGTTTCTATAAATTTTATCACGAATCTTCTAATCTTAGGTTTATATAATTCTGTATTTGTGATAGTAGATTGTTAAATTAAGATGGAATACTTTGTATCATGTAAAAAATCTATCACAAGTGAAAAAATGACTAAGATATTTTTTAATAATATTTATTGCTATCATGGATTCCTAAAAGATATTATATTTAATAGAGGAAATCAATTTATATTAAGATTTTAGAAAATCCTTTTGAAGATTTTAAAAATCAATATAAAGCTTTCTTTGGCTTTTTATCCTTAAATTGATAGACAAATAGAATGGATGAATCAAATTTTGGAGTAGTATTTGAGGTGTACTATTAATTATCATCAAAATGACTGGACAATTTTTTTGCTATTAGCAAAGTTTGTGTAAAATAATTTGGTATATTTTTCTATTTAATAAATATCTTTATTTGACAATTATGGTTATCATCTACAACTTAATATTTTTTGTTTTTTAAAAATTGATAATCTTGCACCAAAAGATTTGATGAATTGTTTGTCAGAACTACATGCAATAATCAAGGCACAATTAAAGGAAGCTCAAGAATAATAAAAGATCAATGCTAATGCTTGTCGAAGGAACAACCACAATTTAACATAGATAATAAGGTATGGCTACTTCGACATAATATTAAGACTACTTGTTCTTGTGACAAGTTAGACTATCATAGGCTTGGAACTTTTTTTATTAATAAATAAGTCAATTTTTTTGTTTATTGATTTTATCTATTGCAGTCTATGAAGATCCATCTTGTATTTCATATGTCTCTTTTTGAGCCATATATGACAATGAATATCTCGAGAAGATGACAAATGCCACCTCTTCCTATAGAAGTGAATAATAATCAAGAATTTGAAGTAGAAGAAGTCTTAGATTCAAGGTGGCACTGAAATAGATTAAAATATCTTGTTCATTGGTACGGATATGATATTAATAAATGGATATGGGAGCTAGCAAAGAATCTTACGAATGCAACAAAGAAAGTTGAGGTTTTTCATTGATAACATCCATAAAAATCAAGATGAAGAATAACAAATCTTTACTATAAAAAAAATAAGTTCCAAGAAAGATAGCATTCTACCTTTTATTCTTGTTTGGAACTTTTGTACATTTGTGATGCTAAGGAGACGAAAAATCAACAATCAACAGATTCAATTCAAGAGCTATTACTTGCTGACTTATTGGACAAAACATTGCAATTGTTACAATTTTCAAGTCAATGTAATCAAGATGAAGATCTTCAAGAATGACACGTCTTTCTTTAAATAAATGATAAGATAAATTTTTTTTGATATTATGACCTTAGAAGATATTTTTGATGTTTGATGATTTTATTAGAGGTCGGAACGACCTTTGATAATGTTCCAAATGTTTTATTTGAAGGAAGTTACAAAGGCCTCAACAATGTTCAAATAATAGGGTGGCCTTTCCGCCCTAGTATGGGACACCATCGATGGCAGAGAAGACCTATCAACCATCTTCAAAGAAAACAAAGATCAAAATATGTAGCAAACACAATTTTCTGCATCTTGGATTTTTTCAACGTATAATGACTGCTCTTTGTAGAATTTGCCTCTTGAAAGGAAGAGAGGGAGGTAATATCACAAACATACATATTTTTATCTACTTTTATCTATTTCTACATACTTTTATTATTTAGATAATTATAAATTTGTAATAAATATATAATAAATATGAAGTTTCAATCTTTATTTTTCTTTGAAGATAATTGATAGGTCCTTTCAACCATTAATAATGTCTTATATCAAAACAAGAAGACCACCTTATTATTTGATTATTATTGAAGCCTTTATAATTTCTTTCAATAAAATCATTTAAAATTTTATTAGGTATTATTTTTTTACCTCTATTAATATCACCAAACATTAAAAGTATCTTCTAAGGTAGAAGTAGAAAAAAATAGATAAATAAGTATGGAGCTAAAATAATTTTATATTGACTATAAATTATATATTTATTACAAATTTATATAATACTTAATCTTATCTAAAAAAAACTATTATTGTGCTATATAAAAAATACATAATTCTTAAAAGTGATGGATTTTTATATATTTTAGTATTTAGATATCATTATCAATCATTTATTAGTATGATTTCAAATATAATAATCATATATGTTTCAATCAAAAAATACAATATTATTATATAACAATTAAATTTTATTAAAACTACAATTCTTTGATTATATCTATAAAAATTTTATAAGTTTTCAAAAATATTTTTGTTATTTTTTTTAAAAAAATTCTATAATATACAAAAAAATCTTTAAAAGAATATATTATTAGAATTATAAACTTATCTTTGTACAATATTCAAAAGCAATTGTTCACATCTGTCTTTTAAAGGACTACATTTTTCATAAAACACTTTCATTATTTCTATGCTAAGACATAAAATGTCTTAATATGTAGCATTGAACATATATCAACATACAAAAAAGAAAAAAAGAAAAAAGAAAAGATCATTGAATAAATTTGTTTATACTAATAGTGAGAAATATACCAAATAGATTTTACTGCATTAATCACAATAAAAGAAAACTAGTAGTGCCAATATGGCTCGGTGGACAACCTTACAGAAGAGAGTTGATTGTAACAGGAGTAAACACAAGAATGTCAGAATCATGTTACATAAGAACATCAGGTTGGTTGTTCTTGGTGCAATATTCCTGACAGTAATAGAATTAACCCATTTTAAGAAGAGTTAAATCATTGTTTTGCTGCCTGAGCATTTTTAAGTAAGTGCTTGTACAAATCTACATATTGATCAGCTGAGGTCTCCCAACTGAAGTCTATTAGCATAGCCTTTTTAACCAGATCTTCCCACCATTCAGGTCTTCGACAATAATAGTCTAGCGCCCGATCCAATCCCCAGTCAAGACTCTGCACCAGCCGTCAAACATATTAATCGTTAAACCATACTTCAACCACTAATAATCGCATCGAATAAAATCCTACAAAACTTTCGAAGAGGGAGGCAAAAATGTATGCACTAAAAGACCTGACTCGATGCTGAAAATTATACCCGCTTTTCCTCAAGACAAATGGTGAATCACTGGTTAAATTAGCAGAATCAAGGAAAATATTTCTTATAGCTAAGGTCACACCCTCAGGTACTTCTGTTTTGCAATGCAATACATGAAAAAAGCTCTAAAACAACAATACAAAGTCTGAAGTCATTCCAGCAAATTCTTCAAAGTTGAACCATGATCACACTTCAAACGTGTCTAAATACTCACCCCCTCATTTGCATCGTCGAATACAAACCCATTCTTCTTCTCCTCCGAAATATTTTCATCGTCCACATCAAACACACTGCAGATGGAGCAAGCACATGCCACTCAGACCCAGGCATAAATATTGTCAATTTCAGCTGTTGAAAATCACTAGAAACGAGATAAGGCAAACTTGATTCCGGAATAACATCAGCTTCGTTAAGTATAAGAGTAATCTCTCCAGAAGTAACAATCACAGTCTTTAACGGACCATCTTATACAATGGTTTACAAACTTCAGATATTTTGTCAAGGTAGAACCAGTAATTCAGAGGGTGAATCTATTTTTTCATCACCAAGCTCTATTTCATACAACCTAGGAAAGAATGGAGGGTCGAGAGTGACAGCTGCACAAACCTATCTGCAAGTCCCCCAGTTTTTCGCACCACTGGTATTGTTCCGTAGCGCATCGATATCATCTGCAAATACAAAAGCAAACAGCCCATATGTCAAAGATCCGTTCGACATTATGTGAACAAAAGTACTACATAATCTGATAAGTCATGGAGTAGGTGGTTTGGGCGCCAGACACTTAAGTTTAATATGGAACTAACTAGATTATGTATCAAAATCATCGTGGCATAAAGAGGCGTGGAAGGATTCTTCACTTTCACAAGGAAATAATTTAACTAAGACCCTCCAAGAAAACACAGAGAAAGGAGATGAATCATAAGAGTGCCGACCTGCGTAAGACCGCAGGGTTCAAATATAGATGGAATCAAGAAAATATCAGCCGCCGCAAAGATTTCATGCGACAGTGCCTCATCGTACTTCAGAACAAGACGAACTTGGGGGTGCTCCTTGAACTGACGACTTATCTTCTCAAATTCATGCTGTTCAAGGATATGCAAATTAGTAAGCATGAGAAAAAAAATGTATTATTTTAATCATGATACATCACAAATATGTAGGCTGGCATAACCCAGAATACAAAACAGATGTTAATACGAGAAAAGTGAAGAAAATACTGGCAGCTATACGACGAATTTTACAAAGTCAAAGGAATCTAAAATTTTATAAAAGAATTACATACTAACAAGTACCTGAATCTGAGGAATAGGACTTGATCCTAAGAGGATAAACTGACCGCCCTTCTCCAGAGTGTGGTAGATAGCGTGTTTAATGAGATGCACACCTTTTTGCGGGACTAGCCTCGTCACACACCCTACCTGAGAGCATTCTTCATGACTTGAAATCATATTCTCATGCCATAATTACTATTAAGGACGAGGCATGATGAAGCTAAAACATGGCCTTGGCCATTACAACATATCAATGCTAGCGCGGTTGCCAAAGTTACTGCCATGTATAATATACAAAACAGCTGATAATAAAACATTCATCAAGTTTCGTCAAATTCATTTTTGCAAGAGTACGAATTAAAAACCCTGTACAAGCCATTGTTTCGTTGAAGTAAAGAAAGAAAAAGTCAGAAAGTGAAGTCTACTGTTTGAATTCAAGAAGCTGCTACAATGGAAAATTTGTAAAGCGTATAGTTATAAAAGACAGAAAAGTACCAATGGCCTTCTTTCATCGCCCCCTTGATTTCCCAACCCCAAACGCTCCCGCAACTTCTGCTTGTTGATGTACTTCCCATCAATATCATCCGCACTATATTGAAAGTCTATAAGAGTGTCCGTGGCTGGGTTCCATACTTCCACATCGATGCCATTCAGAACGCCAAAAAACTTCTTTGAATGATTAGCCAATGTCCCGTGCAAGCCTTTTCCATCCTGTAATGCATAAAGATGTTGATTTTTAAGACAAGACTAGATTCCATACGATCACATCAACCGCCTGAATTATCAAATTTTCAGGGAAATTGTGGACCAAAAAGATTTAAAATGGTGACCACTGTTAATAATTGTGACAAAGATATTCATCAATGACACTGCAGTTGCTCTATATAATCAAAGTACTCTATCAAGGTTCCTTGTCAGTAGGCTGACTTAGAGCTTTCAACAGCAAAACCAATTCGTTGTGACAAATTCTCTATGATCTTACAATCTGCGACAACTCTGTGACGATCACATCGTTCTTCGTGGAAATAAACCTTAAGGTAAGAACCGGCCTTGTTTAGAAATTATGGAATTTTGCATAACAATCAGGTTAAATTAATGTACTACTACCATTAATTGCCATCTCTTGTACTTATCCATTGGAAAAATGAAATGAAAGAACCTCCTACACATACCTCTGGTTGGAGAACCTCTTGAGCATAAGTAGGGGAAACAGTTGTCACAACATTGGAGAACACAATACCTCCCTGAACAGTAACAAACCACTGTTCACTACAATGATATGTTGAAGCATTAAAAGAAATAATTTACCGCGTATTAGAGTTATTGATTTGGAACAAACAGGGTACAATGTGGGCGCATATTATCAATCCAAATAACTTAAGCGTGTCAGTGAGTTGCTGAATCAACCAAAATATTACAAAAATGACTACATATTGAATATATATGGATCCTCTATAGAAAATAATTAGAAACCTTAAGAAGATTGATTCTACTGTGAAAGTAGTTATCTTGCATTCGGTCAGGACGCATCAGGTCTCGGACAGAGAGACCACACGCAGCAATAGCTCCTGAGTTCTCCGTCCCTTGATATTCAAAATTGTGGCAAGTGAATGCCAACCTGGCAGAGTCTAAACCGAGGGGTACATAGACCTCCCAATACAACGGGGCCTGCAAAAAGAACAGCACACCATAAACACAGCTAAGGAGCATCCTTGATGACGTCATAATATCAGGAACTACAGTTTGATTCAATTTAAATCTTCTTTCACAGTATATGAAACTGACCCAAATTAGTCTGCTATTTAAAAAAAAAAAAAAAAAAAAAAAAAAAAACCAAGAAATACTGGATACGGTTTCTCAGCGTTAGTATTACCACCACAGCAGTCTGCCAATCATGACTGTGAATAATATCTGGCCGCTTTCCAGATTGTAAAAGAAACTCCATTGCAGCTCGGCAAAAGTATGTGAACCGTCTGAAATCATCAGGTTCACTGTAAAATTTCCCTCTCCAGAAAAGTTTTGCTGGATGGAGTGGCTCAATGAAGTATACAGGAAGTCCTGCACACAATGAAGCAGCCATAAGATTGTTAACAACACTAACACCATATAGAGCTGAAACAGCATGTCAATTGGGTACCTAGATTCATGAGCAGAAGATTTAATCGATGTTTATTACTGACTATGAAAATGTCTCGACTTCTGCACGCGCACTAATTCTGAATGAAAAATCTCTGAATACCCCATGCGGAATTCACCCAAAATTAAATAGCTATATACCTTCCACAATGCCAGACCACACCTTGTTCTTGTGCATGTGACCATCAAAAACTGAATGAAGCTCCAAGTCCAACTCCTGTGGACGTTTCCAAATCATATGTCAGTTCAGTATAAAGTAATGGTACCGGAATTAATCTAAGCACGCCAGAAAATAGACCATAAAAACCAGAAGAAATTTGGCATTAAAGTTATCATCCAGCTGGCAGCGACTACGACATTAACCCTAGAAACCAAGTCGGCAAATTTTTCAAAAAGAATCAACCTCTTACTATTCAAATAACTAGCTGGTTCAGAGGTTATGCAACTGACCTTAAGATTGGTGATACGGGAGTAGTCCATACAATCGTACTTAGGAAGAATAACTTCCACAAGATGCCCTTTTCTTTGCAAGGCTCGACTCAATCCTGTTAACACATCTCCCAAACCTCCAACCTTTAAAGAATCACATGTCATCAGTTTCATGTCATGATGCGTTCAGTTGGATCTGTTAGTCACTTCGTATACTGAAAAGCGTAACACCAAAATCTTTTAATTTGTACTAATAAGTTACAAAGTTGATTTTTAATGGCTTATCCTTCAAAAAGAAAAAAGAAGAAGTATCAGTTCGAATGAGATTTATACCTTAGCCACAGGTGCCATTTCAGCGGCTATGTGTATTATATGTATTCCTGGCCTGAGAAAAGACAGAGAGAATGACTTTATTGAGGAATAGTAATCAAAAGATTGAGCTGACAATCAGAATCTCTAAGACTGATGTAAGATAAACACCCTGAGACCTCTGGAGTTAGTACTTCCTAACTTAGAGCTAATTAGTTCTAAAGACAATTAGAAAGGAGATTAGACCATTCCTTTTGTTAAAGCAGAGAAAAAAGAGATTTCTTGATAGTAATAACTGATAATACTAAATAATACACATCAAATATCCAGTATAGTAAATGTGGAATGCATGACTCACCTTTTCTTGGGCTGTATAAATTCCATAAACCCACTCGTCAAGTCCTCGTCAGCCTTGTCTGCAAGCGTAACATAAACATCAACCAAACGTTTTTCTCTCCGCCAAGCCATTAACTGTAGCTCCTTTGCATCTTCCTGCACCACATAAATTGCTCAAATGATCAACGGGATGTCTTTCATTTCCAAGTTTATTAGAGTTCAGGTAAAGAAAGACATTCAAACGAGCAGCCAAAACTTGCTACGAGCAAATAAGAGCCAAGAGAATTGCTTGAACTACAGTCCATAAGCCGAGCAAGATCTAAAGAGACGTGAGTTTACCCCACTATTAATCTGTGAAAGAGTAATCCACTATATTAACGCCACAAAAATGTTCAACGACGCAGATAGAAAACCATTCTATGGCACCATGGTCGTTCCAATGGAGCTTTCTCAGTTGAAGTGGTACCAACGAAGCGATTCCATCACATTGAGAGGAAACAATATGAAAGAAACAACTAAAAAGAAAAGAGACAAACTTCAGACTAGCAAGATAAAAAGAACCTCATAATATTTCCTGGAAATCTTCCTGACCTGACTTAGAAAGTCGTCCAGCATCAATGTATCTATGCGTAAAAGAAGCTCACTCCAAATTTCCCACGACATTTCATCTACAGGAATTTGATTCACAGTGAACTCGTTTTCAGACTTCAGTCCATCTAAAGAGGCCTGAAAATCTTCCACTTCTGCTGTGTAGATTCGCAATTGTGCTTGAATCTCAGCATCTGATTCCCGTAGACGTTCTTCCAAACGAGCCACTTGCTCATGAAGCTGAATATTTTCACTACGCACATTTAAAAGAGCATTTTTCTCGGCCACGGTTCGAGCCAGCAAAGATTTTAACGAGACAACCTTCACAAAATCACATGATAAGAATATTAGACACTGCAAGTCACCGAAAGCATGTGAGAAACTTATATCCTTTGGGGCAAGAACAATGGGTTCCGGAAAATCTATCGATACTAAAAGCACAGCCCTAGAACATATAGGACCACATGAACCTCAGATAGGCAAACAAATACATAGAAAAACTGAGCGAAGAGACGCTCTTAACCAATACATTATAAGAGCGTCCAAGAGTACAAAAATATTAGCTACTTAAAAACTATTCACCCTGAATGCAACAGCTCAGCGACTTGCTACAAGTAAAGTTTCCAAATAGAAGGACCATTATTTTTGTTCTTACTTGGCGCTGAAGAGTTCGATCTTGGGAATCTCCTTCCGCTGAGGAAGGTGAAGAGTCTTTTTGAAGAGCTGCCAATTGAACTCGGAGAGCAGCTGCTTCCTCTTGTAATGCGAGGTTTTCATCTTTCAAAGCTTCAAGCTCTGCATTGGTATCATTCGCTTCAGCTAATTGCTTTTCCATGTCAGCTATGTTATTGTCTAACTCTATTATGTTCTCCTGTAGCCGTGCCCCCTCCCTTCCGGGTCCTCTGGACAACTTTTTTATTTCTGCATGTGCACCTGCAAGTTTTACCCTTAAAGTGTTTATCTCGTCCAGTGAGCTTTGATATTTTGCTTCTAGTAGACTCTGACCGCCAGATTGTTTGTAAACATTCAAACTTTCCTGCAGCACTCTATTTTCCTCCTTCAACTTTGCAAATGCTTGGCTGTCTACTACCGTCTCACTGAGTCTCCGCTGTAGTTTCTCAACTTCCGCCTCTAACAGCCGAACCCTCTCGTCACCTCCAACAGCGTATTTCAGTTTAGGATCTGATCCTGCTGGATGTGCCTGCCAGAAAATTGAACCATCAGAAGAAACCAATCAATAATCAATCAATTTTCCAAGTTTCTGTATAAGTTTGCTCCACTAGATACAGTAGTAGCACAGAGGGGAGCACTGGACGTCAAGCCAGAAATTGCACTTCACCAACTATCTAACCTAAGGAAATGCATGATCTCCAATATGAACCATACCGCTAAATCGTGAACTTGCAACTGGAGTTGTTCTTTTTCATAATGCGCTGATTTTAGTTCCTCCGTAACACGCTCACGCAGCTGCATAAGTGTAATAATATCTGATCACCAGAGCGATGCATTAGTACTTAAACAGTATACCATGAGAAACGAGTTCCATATTGGACTAGAAAAAACCTATCAATCTTAAAACCCGAAAGCCTACTTTCAAACAGTAAAAAGATTATCACCTGATTCCGTCTCTTTCACCACACGCATGATATCATCCACGCTTACGCGTGAAATCTCTCCGGAAATATTTGAATCTGGCACTCTCTGCAACTCATGTTCGCAGACGATGGATCAGCTCGTAGCACCTCTATCGTAATGGAGACACCGAACTCGTCATCAACAGAAAAGTGTAAAATAACTGTGAACAGCTAAAATAATAAAAGTCGTTCAAACAACATCAAATACAGTAAACACAAAACTGATGATTGACTGTTCCTGTCACGAAGAAATTCTACAACCTGCAATGATATAATTATTCAGCAATGGCGGGAAGGTCACTGCATTTTAAAGCAATGCCAGGTTGCCGAATGTTGGCTACAAATAACTCATAAGAAAAGGTTGATTGAACTACGCGTCTTATTATGACGATAAATGCTGGATATTATGGAATACTTGAGTTTGGGGATAAGCAAACTCTCAAATAAATACTCTATGATTACTGGTAATGATAATCTTCAACAAAAACTACCGTATGGAATGTGTATACCATGTATGAGATTGCCACCATTGGATGTCTAGTATATCGATGAGAAGATTTAGAAATTAGGGTCACATGAAGGAATGTAACTATCAAAAGTTTTGCACTCAATATCGTCATCTTTCAATAAGCACTCTGGAACACAGAAAGTCTATGCCTCAGGCATTACCTTAGCTGAAACTTCGCTAAAGGACCCATGCCCACCTTTCTCGTGACCCTTGGCATTTAAAGCACTATTTAAAGTGACACTTCCTTGAGAACGAAATCTATCTCCATCACCGAGTCGATAAAGTTCTTCGGCTGCTGCAGATAATCGTTGAGCATCCTGTACTGTACCTGGAAAATCTCGACCATCCTCTCCTGTACGATTGCTAACTTCTAGAGGTCTTCGGTGGTCTCTCATTCGTCTAGAGTAACTTTTTTTCGCACTGCAGCAGATAAATAATTGGCAACAATCTGAGTGAAATTATTTCGCCTTAAACAGAAGTTCTAACGTAAGTAGCGTAAATTTGAACAACTGACGGCAGGTACTTCGAATTACGCTCAGGAAAGTTCTCAGGCGGTAGAACTTCTGTTCACATCGCAATATGATTGCTGTGCTTAAAAAATATTGGAAAGGTCAAATGCAAGGTAAGCTTGCGCAAGGAGAGCCCCCACGTTAGAGCTTCAACAATATTTTTTTGAAGCAAAAATATAAAAGGAGGCAACTCTCAACAGTTCCGCTTAAACATGAAAACCATCGTGTAAAAGAATTAATGGTTATGCTTTGGTTCAGAGCTCAATGGAAGAACAGAGGAATTGAACAAGTAAATATTCCGAACCTGCTATTGCGGGATATAACATTGCATGGTGGATAGAGGTATAAAGAAAAATCCACCCTTTCCATACCTGCTGACCTTCGCAGAATCCTCCAGAGAAACTCTGCAGCCATATTTTAGTTGGCCAATACTAGAGAAGTTATGAGGAGATTTCCTCACAGTGGCAGTGGCATTGCCTACGCTGACCGATGCTGCAATCGACATCCCTCTCAGCCTCATCTTCCTCCTCTACACTTACAATTTGCAATAATAGACCTCTGCGAACCGAAATCGCAATACTTAACGTGAGATGTTAGTTCGAAATCCTTTTCTTCAAAATTCTCATGGATTCCACTCCATCAAATTCGAATAACAACCTCCTAAATTCCTCACAGCTCCAATACATCACAAGACTCCAGGATTCTCAGCACCAGAATTTCCTTCTCTCCAGCTCAATTCCCCGTGCAGAGGGCGCAGAATTCCTCCTCTAGAATCGCTTGGAAACAGTCACAACCTCCATAACCCTAACGATCACATCGCGTCCCGCTTCAGATTCCCTTCATAACTCACAACTCCATCAACAACACACAATCTGCACGTGCCATTTCACCTTTACAGCCTATTTCAAGCCGGAGAACCTCCATCAACCACGATCTAAGACTATCACCAGAGAGCTTGTCAAATTCCTCATATCCTCACATGAAAATTGGAGCAAAGTATTACGACTTCGACGCAATTCTTGCACAGCGCCATCGCGCACAGAGCTCCGCCTCAGTGCTCTCCGCCCAGTCCTTGGTCTCCCTGTCCCTTGCGACCTCCCACAGCCTGCGACCAGGCCTTTTAGCCTCGGGACGAATCTCCACCTAAGCCCAGCTGTTGCAGTGTTCAGTCCATGCGGCAACCTCTAGATTCTAGGCTCGGCAAAGCCCAAACCTGAACCTAGCTCCTAGGCAAAAAATGTATAGCCTCGTGGACCCATGCCAATCCCCTGCTGTGGCTTTTAACTTTCAAATGTTATCTGACGGACAAAAAAAGGTTATGCAGCTATAAAGCAAAAGTTGATGCTGGGAGTCTGAAGTTTAAGTGCACATAAAAAGCTCTTTCATTCGTGGGGTACAATAGAAATAGCTATATGCCATATAAAATTACCTTGTAATTGCGAGTCAACTCTTTTTGTGAAATTACAAAAGTTTAAAATTTTTATTATTTATTTTTTTATTTAATTTTTTTTATAATTATTTCATTAGTGAAGACTTACTACAATAAGATTTTATTGCAAATAATTTAAATATTTTAAATTATTACAATTAGATTTTGAGTTTTAGTAAACATATATCAATGTAGGTTGGAAGAACTTAATAATTGATTAGGCATTAACATAAGAAATCTGTGAGTTTTTGATACAGAAATCATTCAATATTATCAACATATAAATTTATTAATTGGTATTAAAAATATATTTAAAAATATATAACTTATTTATTCATTAAATGGAATGAATACATACTAGTATTTCATGATGTAAATGTAACAAAATATACAGAAAATAATCCACTCAATGCTCTGAATTATGGAATATTATTCATAAAAACACAAACATTCCATATGTATAAATTTGAACAAGCACATTAATGTACTTGATAAATTATAGTATATAATAAAAAATGAAAATCCAACTGTTTTGTTAAATTCAAAATATCTAATAAGTAATAATTACAATCTACAAAGTTTATTAGTTATGTAATTAATATTTGAAATACGTACATACATACCTATATACATGAGTATAAATATAAAATATAAGTATATATATGTATTTAGCTGCATGTTAAAAATGTCTACTTTGTGTAAAACAGTTCATCAATCGTTTTCATATTCTAGTTACACAAACTACCTCTGAAATCACAGACAAGATTCTAAATTTTCATTTGTTTGAACTTTGCATGGTTTTGGTTCGGAACATTTTGTTAACGTAGAAAATATTCAAACATTTTTGAGATTATACTTCAGTAGTAGTGTAAATAACACAAAAAATGCGATAATGTTTTCTTGACCAACTTACAATGTTTCCGGCATTGGTCACCACGCTACTAAATCAACCTCATTCTACCATAGATGTCACCATGTTGAATGAAATGAGTATTTTCAAGGTAATCCTGATGAAGTGAAAGCTATCTGGAATACACGAGAATTTGTTCCTTAACCATTAACCTTGGCAGGGATATGCGATCAAGAAATGGGGCGATTAAACAAGTACAACAAAAACAATTCGATCACTCTCACGCCTGTCAAATAACCCAGCTAACAAAACATTGCTACAAACACTGATCAACTAAATTGCAGCCTTGATAATCATTTTCTTAACCAAACTGTGAAATGATCAGAAAATTTCCAAATCAATGGACACTACAATTTGGAAATGCTTAATACATGCCTCCACGCTTCCTCCGAGACTACCGCATGCAAGGGACCTTCTAACGTCAATCACCTACTGAAACTTAATGGAAACCCGTATCAAGGTTCTTGTTTTGCTGGAACAGGAGTAGGAGCATCGTCGCTTGCAATTGGGTTCTTGTCTCCACTAGTCCTGGCCAGAGACCGATATTGAAGGCGCACACTCTCTCCGTTGTCTAAAAGACGAACCAGATACCTACATAGGCACCAATCCAGAGACATCATGTCATGATTTCATCATACACCTTCCAGAACAATTAAGCGCATGCGCTTCTAATTAAAAGTGCAGGACACACTATATCAAATTGCTTAGATGGTTTGCGTTTCTGACCAGCCGTTCAAACATTGAGAAATGATAGAAGCTTCCCTCCCAACAAGCTTTTCTGGCGTCCGCTTGTTTCCCTGCATAAATCGCATGTAAGAAGGCTAGAAAATTAATCATAAACAGAGATCCAAGACGCTCAGAAAAAGAGCATTTTTTGAACAAGTAATAATTCTTATTATTTTGAAAGGAATATCCATGAGCACTTTAGAGCCTCTGAATGAAATGAAATTCGTAATCAAATTAGACGGTGAAAGGCAAACATACACCAACCATTTCATGAGAACATGATCTTGTTCAAATGCAAAGATTCTCCAAAGTAAACCCAGCAAGAGGAGCAATAAGAATTTGAAAAAAAAAATCGGTTTTACAATGATAGCTCAAGCGTACCATGATCAGGACTTTTTCATCTACAGCAAATGGAAGTACAACTTGTAGCTTCGCTTGGCTGCCAGGCTGAGGACTTCCATCCTTCTCCGCTGATGGCGGTGAATCCTAATAAAAAATAACGGCGTCAAGAAGTAACCACACTCGAAGTCACAGCTCACAGGCTCCACATGCATACAAGGCATAAGTACAACGTAGAAAATCCTTCTGAGACAAGCAATCCGATAATTGACAGCAGGAAAACAGATAAGGCGAAGCTACGTATCTGAAACTAGGTTAGAAGACCAAACAGAAATACCTTATCAGATTTTCTGAATTTTGTGAGTTTAAGTAGTTCTCCAGATTCTCTCCTTCGCTTACTCCGTAAAGGTACTACGTCCACCTGCTTACTTTCTTCTTGCTTTCTTTGTTCCTCGCGTTTGAAGGCAGCAACGGCCGCTCGTAAGGCTGTTAAATGCACACCATTACAAACTCTAGTATTGATCACATTGCCAGGCTTAAACCTCCTTGACTTGCCTGCTAAAATAACTAAGACAAAGATCTGAAATGATACAACCTTGTCCATGTGCATCGCACAGCTCGGTCAATCTTCTCACAGCTGGAAGCATTTATGTCTACGTGCCTAACAGAAAGTGGGGTACTTGGACATGTCACAAGGTCGTCACTCTTGTAGGGCTTACCCAGGTTTTCAACTAAGGAATCATTTGTTACTGCTGCACCACAAGTTGCACATAGCATCTGCAAGGAAAAGGCATATCGTCAAAAATCAAACCTTCTGGAGAATGATTGCAGTAAACTAAGATCAACCCTAATAAATAATGTATAACCTAACAACGAGACCGTTACACAACCCTATCATCATTGACCCAATCATAACACATACGTCAAGAATCAACATTGTACAACAATCCAATAAAACAAAACAAGGGCCAGTAAGATTGTAATGTTAACAGTTGTGTGAGGGCTATAAGTACGACGACGTATTATGACCAGCTGCTATGTGTGAAAAATTGTCATTTTGCTGAACAAAAGAAAAGAAAACATAGAGTAGTAAGATACCGAAGCATAAACTCTTTGAAGAGTCCCACCACCATATGAATGGCCACACACGGATGCCATCGCGTCTTCCAGAAAAGAGCCACTGCGGAACCATGATTACACCCAATGTACACAAGCACGAAGACTTGGTTCTTAATTCAAGGTAACCATGTAAATGAGTATTGTGGTGTACTGTTTTTAAGAACACATGCAATCAATTATCATAATATATTGCAAACAAAGATGGGCTACTTACTAAACAACGAAAGGAACTTACGTAAGAGGATCAAGTAGGGTGCTCCGCAACGTAGTCTCTCCATTTGCTGCTTCCTACAACATATTCGGCAAGTTAAGCACATCCTAAGTCAAAACATGGTCTGAGGTAAGACTCTCTAAAGACGTAGCTGGTCTACTGATTTTCTGTTCCCTACTCTTCAGAATCGGAAATTCGTATTGGGATTCCAGACGAGAAAAAAACAAAGAAAAGGGGGATATCTCACAATTTTAGAATCCACACCATTCGCATGAGCCTTCTCAGCAGCCTCCAAAGTTTCGAGAAACGTTTTCACCGGGACGGGTCCATGCCCTTTGGGAACGACATGACCAGCATCTGTTACTGCCTTGCAGTCAATGGTTGCACTCATGCGAGGCATCAGCCGAAAAGCTAGAGTTGTTCTGCTCCATAAGCACCCAATATCGGTATGCATCAAAACCATGCAAATTTCCATGTTTTCTAGATGAAGTTGGAATTAATCTAATACTAAGATAAGCAATCCAACCTCAGTCTAAATGCTGTGGCTGTTTAGCACAGACGAGGAAAAGGTGTATACTGAAAATCCTGGGCTTCATACCTGTAAGAGGAAGAAACAATGGCAGGTGAAGATGCAGGTACCACGCGAAACAAACCAGCCTTTCGAACACCAGCCGTGGCTTGTTCTAATGTCTTCCCTGTAATCAACAGTAGATCCCCTGGACCCATGGCAGTATCAGCCAGGTACCAATGGCCATTTGGATCCTTCACCTGGTACCGCCAAAGTCCATTTTCCAACGTATAAGATAGCTAGTTGAAACAAAGAGATAAAGGCTACCAGCCCTCCAGTGTCTGTATTTGTGAGGTAACGCTCTTTTGCCGCATAGGTTCTTCATTCCCTCGATACAAACTAGTTTATGACGCACATGAAACCTAAATGAGTATTGCTCGAGTCACCGAATTTCGAATCATCTGCACTGGTACCCCGCACCCGGAACTTTCTTGCAGACAAATAAAGAGCATATGAACAAAGTTAAGAGAAAGACATACCTGCAAACCAGGAGTGTCAGATGCAATCAATGACAACAGGCCTTTCTCCACTTCATCGGGAGTGCCGGAATATCCTATAACTGATTTATCACCTGATCCCGAAGTGTGAAATGCTGTGGCTGTTAGCACAGACGAGGAAATTTCTCCCTTCACAAGAGGGAGGTCATCGAGGAGCTGACCAAATGCACTGCCACATCAAAATAAGATTCGTTGTGTCAACATGGAAAAACAAAAACTTCAACTCATTTATGTAGACCACAGAAGCCAAAATATGAATCGAAAGAGCAAGGAGGAGGGAAAATTTAAACATTTTAAAGCTTCAAAAAAAAGAGGAATAATCAGAGGAATTGCAGCATAATTTTCTACAACCGTTTCAAAGTGAAAAATCAAGCTGAGGCGTTACCAAATTAGACTCTTGCGAGGTGTTAGAAAAATATTTTAGGTTTCGGTTGAATCATCAAGTATATATGTCTCATTTAATGTTTAGGATGTCCAAAGTACTAGGTTACGACAGCAAATGGAATCCAAACTTAATTCAGAGGAGCTTAGGATGTTACAACTCCTCATTACAAACTTACACAAGAAACACGGTAACAAACCATATTGGCCGCAAAGAAATACTCAGGATTAAGGATCCTCAAGAACCTCTTTCTCACACACAAATTAAAGTTCTGAGTAAATAACACAGGCAAGAAAGACTATGTTTGTCAAAGTTCTTACTCTCCACGAAGCCTAAGGTAATGCGCAATCGCACTCAAAGAAGCTCTTGACGTCTTTCCAAAACATCGGAAGACCTCAGGCATGCATGGTGGTGGCGGCTCCAAAGCTGTGCCTTCCGGAGATCTGCATCATATACGCAAATTCGAACTAAGATACTCACATGCGATCCGAGACTCAGAGGCTACCCTCAGAAATATTCTTCGACAAAGTGAGAACTTTTAAGGGAATCGACGTAGGGACCAGTAAAAGCAAGCAACAAATGCTCATGCAACAAGATAACAATCAGTACCTTCCGGCCCGATAAAAGTACATCTCCTTCGTAGGTGCAGCCAAATAGCCCGAGAGATTGAGCCAATCTGAGGGGTTCCACGAAGGGCTATTCGACTTCCGACTGCGAAAATAAAGCTTCGCGGAGTCGAGCGCACAGCGCACAAGAGCTGTATCTTCTCCGTTTAATTCAATAATTGCAGCATTGTAGCGTGCCAAGGAGAGGGACAACTCCTCAACCGCACGTGTGTACACTCCAGAGGCTGCACCATCTTCTGGCAACAACTCCACAAGCTTAACCCTACCAAGTACCTTACACCCACCCTCTCCATTTTCACTTGGAGCATTCTGAAAACATGCACAAGAGACGGAAACTTCAATGATGGTAACACATGTAAACTGAATGTATGTCTTCTGAAAAGAGTTGATAAGTGGTGTCAGCCCAATGTTGCATCCATTAACATCGACAAATTTTCTGTTGAATATATTCAACTGCAATTTTCAAATATGTAGCTCCCCAAACAATACAACATTGGTTTCTGCTCATTATTCTGCTTGTCTGCAAAAGTGCATTTGACAAAAATTGAACAAAACACACAGAATAAGAATGTAACCATTTGAAGGCAATTTTTTCAACGACGTGGTCTCAACTAAGGACTATCCCGGCAATCTCTAACTGGAAGAGCAACTGCAGACTTACAGTTAGCATGTTGATAGATTGAATGCCCTAGCCGCGTCTGTCAGTTTCTGCTGCCTGTTCTTAGTAAAACTAGATTATGTAAAAGAACCCCATCTCCATCAGCCTGCAAGTGAAGAGGCGAAATTACGTACTAACAAGTTCTGTGATATCAAAAATTTGCTGGAAGCACCCGCTTCACTACTGACAAAACAGCAGATTGATCGTCAACATACCGACCACGAGAGCATTATAGTACCCACATCAATACATGAAAGGACCGAATGAACGATTCACGAAGTCCGTAGCACTGATGACCGTAACATTACCCTGGTGTTACTACTGAACTCTAATCCTCGAGGAGTGCTACCCCGATTACTTATCAAAGACAAAAGGTAATAAAAATGATAGCAATACAACACGTACTTTTCTGAACAAAATAACATAAACCCTTATTTCATGCGCTCTGTCATCTCGCCAACCAAACCATAAAGCATGTGAGGTTTACAGTTTGGCTCCTACCATGCTTCACAGAATTGCATTGGAAGCCCCTCTCCGTCGCGAGAGACCCACATCCGGCTCTCCAGCCTCGCACTGAAAACCCCTAGGAGATCGCTACCACCATGAGCATTCCCATCCCGCATGACATCTCAACTTCAAAACCCTCGACAACCACATCCCTCAATCGCACTCCACCAAAATCAACCTAATTCCAAATTGGGCTAAAAACATAGTTAATCACTCCAGAGATCCTCAGGGTATATTGCGCATCCTCGCTTCCATCACCATGCTACACATGAAACCACTTGTAAAATTATTTCCTCGCTGTGAGTGCTCCTTCACTATGTCCTCCAAGTCGCCAAAGCTTGGGAACACAAATCAGCAATTTAAAAAAAATCACACTTTGGAACTAGTAACGAGCAACGGCAGCAAAGAAACGAAATCCTGCTCAACAAAAGCACAGCCTGAACAAAAGCACAGGCTGGAAAAAAAAAGGCTAAAGTAGTTGGAAACAAATTTTCCCTCCCCAAAAATATAAAGGGTTAAAAAAACAATTGATCTTCGCTGACACTGCTTGGCCGTATTTTCAATACAAACTTACAAAAGAAAGTTCGTTGCCAGTTCGCCACAACGGAAGCGTTGATTCTGTTATGGAAACTGTACAGTAGGAATCATCCCTGTCTTCGCTGTTCTGCACAGAACTGTCGTTACTCCACCACAGCAGGCTCGAACCTCGTGAGCCTCTCGTTGGGGTGTCACCAGGAAGACAGTTCCATGCAGAACGGTTCTGTGTGGGTGCGGCTCGCTTTTAGAAGGCCGAATGGGCAGCAAGCATTCTCAGGCTTGGGGCATTCCTCTGCCAATCTACGCTCTAGTCATGCACCCACCGCCATAACTAAACACAAACAATCTATAAACTTATCCGCATCAATTATTCTAGTGTCATTTTTGATGTCGATGATGTTTCGCGCTTCTGAATCCGCTGTGAAATACTTACGATTTGAGTATAATCGTTGAGGAGTTATCATCTTTCCCCTGTTGAGCATAACCGTTAAGGGGTACACCTGCAGTTTCAAGGGTTGTTTCTACCACAGGCGTTGAAACGGAGAGGAAAAGAGAGGTGATTGCCACTGGAGAGGTGATTAGCACTGGTGAATTTTTCTGTTTGGGTTTGAATGGAGTACGCTTCGAGGGAATGGAGTAGCACGCTGGGGTTTTACACACTTACCGCTGATTCCTGACATCTTATTCACTTATACTTTATATTTAGAATCCCAAATTAAGAGGTTTTTCTAAGTAATAAAAGAACATACATCAAAGGTCGAAGCTTATATATTCTTCTGTTTTGTAATGTGCTACCAGAGAGTTTCTGCTGGTGTCACTGCGCCTTCTATCATCTTCTGCTGTACAAACGGATGGCGCTGCTTCTGCTTTCTTGAAAGAGCAAGAGATTGTTATGTTTGCAGAGATAGAGGATATTGGGAAGAGTTTAGAATTATTATTGGCAGTCCAGACCAAATTAGAGGAAAGTATCACACCTCCTTCAAGACAAAAGCAGGAATGCTCAGAAAAGGATAATTTCTACGGGAACTGTGATCCTGTTATCCGCAATCTCCGAGAAGAGCTTCCAGTCTAATTTTACAAAGACCTGAACTATGACATCTACAACTACAGGTACATTTTTTGGTATTCTTTAACATAAATGAATAACATCAGTCAACATGAACTCTATTTCCAAATTAATGACGTCAACCTTTGGTTATGGTCAGAATGTGTTTTATATTCATCTCTTTTTGAAAGCATGGAAGGTCATGTTTTATTGAGGCGAGCTATATCTAGTGCTATCCGGGTTGGTCTTGCTTTCTGTCGCAACTGAATTTACTACTCCATGAGTGCATACTGTATTACAAACAAATTACAAATTACCATAAATGTTTTTTTGCTTCGCACAGAGAGGATATCACATTTACTGATCCCACTGAACATATTTTCGGGAATAAAGAACTACAAGACGTTGCTCTGGGTACTTCGGTTCCATGGCCGCATCTTTTTCAAAGTCTTGTGGGTTGAAGAAGTTCGAGTGTGGCAACCCTCTAGCAAGGTTATCATGGTTCGATGGAGAGTTCGTGGCGTTCCACGAGTTCCCTGAGAGTCTCAAGGTCAGTTCGAGGGCATTTCTGAGTACATGTTAGACAAGGATGAGAAAATCTACTCTCACAAAGTCAGTAATATTATATTGAACTCGTGCCCAAACTATCAAACGTAGTCGGTTACGGATTTTGTACGAGCTGCTGCAGGACAAGGCTCTCCGATGTCAACATATTATCGGAAAGTTGGGGTACTTTCATTCTTGAAGGAGTTCTTGATGTACCGTACTTTTACCGTTAATCTGGCTAGTTCTGATATAGTGTAAAACAATAATCGTGTCCACTTGTGCGAAATTATTTAGAAAGCTTAATCACGTTGAGGTTGCCAACTTCTAAAAACAATTGGTACGAAAGAATATTTCGGCATTCTTCTTCCTTTCTTCCCTTACAGGACTACAGAGATTGTATGCCTTAAATTACCACTATTTCTGGGCCAGATACGTGTCATATCCTCCAACTTGAAGTCAATCAACCGTTCAATCCATGTCAAACGACACACTCCATTGTCCGTCATCAGGACGGCCAATATAAAAATGCCAAAGGATTCACGTAAAATCAGCAGTGCAAATTAAACCGTGCTGATGATAAGCTACAGGGTGGCGTTTTACGATACTCAGTGTCATCTTAGGTCTTTCTTGGCTAGTTGCGCAGTCATCAGAAAGTCATAGAAATCAACTGACGTGCTTGAAATGTTCAATAAGTATCACAGTTTGCAGATTGTTTACGGGCACTTGCATCGGTGTAGCTTCGACTTGAATTTGCTTGAGATTTCAGAAATGTGTGGAATTCTATATCAAAGAGGATGCTGGTGCCATGCAAAACCTCATGGTGGACAACGTTCTGCTGGTTGTTTCACTCCACACAGAGCTGGTTTATACGTCTATTTTCATACCAACATTCCCAAGACAATAGATGGTTTTCGAGAATGATATTTTCAGAATCCAACATGTTTTATTTTCGGTTCATTGTTATTTATTGATAGCCCACTCCGATGTGGAGCTACGTCACTTCTCTAAACCGAGCATCGGACTTGCAAAATGAAGCTTTTAATGGTGGAATCCCAGATCATCGTTCAAGCATATCAGAACAACGATAATGAAGGATGCGCTGGTGTATCCAAACGCATGTCGAAAGGGTCTATGAAAGTGGATTGTGCAGAATTTAAGAATTCGGTCCCGGTGCACTTGCGAAATGTTAGTGATAAATTACAGATAAATACCTGGAAGGAAATCGAAAGAATACAAGATGAATACCCTCAATCAGAGGATTTGGAGGTTTTGGACACCGTGCTAGTCACAACTATTAAGTCTGAGTGGAAGCTAATAAATTGTCCAGTGTTCTGACTGCGCAAGCACAGATATACAAATCCAGAAAAGTACCAGAATCCAGCACCTCAGATAATAGCTCCACAAGGAACCATCTGCAGTTTTGTCGTGCAGCTTTGTTCAACTCCAACCAATATTCAATTACATTACCGTCACTGTCTGCATCAACCCTCCACCACCTTCTTGATCTGCTCCAATGACAGGAACAGCACGACAGCAAAGGGGCCCTGGCGAGTTACTGTTGGTACGAAACCCTTGTATAGAGCCATGGGGCCTTCCGTCCGCACCGTCTTCACCGCACAATCCAAAGCACCTCGGTATGGAGCAACTTCTCCAGCACCCACTTTCATGTTCATCACTCTCATCTTCACCACATCGATGGGATTCGAAGCGACGGATGCCAGCACACCCGCCCCGCAGGTTGCAACCACCTGCGTTGCCAGCCCTTTCGGCAACGCGTGATTCTCAGTGATCGCGTCCTTAATTTGGTCGTAGGTGGCCAGCTGAGCGGCGGTCACAAGGCTCGAGTCACCGTTGGAGCCGACCCGGTCCACAATGACAACACGCCATCTCGTTTCACCATTCGGAACAGAGCATTTCCGACTCCGGTGTAGTTCCTCCTTTCGCGCAGGGACAGTCTACCATCGGCTTGCATCCTGACCATGGCCAAATCTGCGGGGTTTCCAACAACGGCACCAGAAGCCCCTGCCAGCAAAGCGGCAATCACCTTTTTGTAGAGGGGGAGTCGGGATCCTTCTTGTGACTCGTCTCTCCATTGATGTTTCAGATACTCGTAAAGACCCATCCGAGTGGAGGAGTACAGGACTTGTCTCAAGAGGGTGGCAGAGACACCAGAGTACAGAGCCTTTATGCCTTCTGAGCGTGCTACATCAAGTCCAACTCGAAATGGCCCTGTACGTGAAACAACGGATAAATGATTACCATGCAAATTCTATGCGAGAGAATGAGACGCTCCTTCTCCGATTAATTGCATGCGCACCTTGATGAGGTCCAGAGGATGTGTGACGAACCCAGCGAGCATCGACGGCAAACCACCATCAGCGAACCCCTTCCACTCCATATCTCTGAGAATTCAAATCTGAAAGTCTTCAAAAGGTCAATCAACTTCGAATTCCCAATCTGAATCACTACACTAGTGCAGCAAATGCACACCGGAATGGAGTAACAATTCGACCCTGCACTTCTCACAAACCTCCTGTTCGTGGAAGTTACCACCAACTGCTGCAGAAGCACTGCGCGCAGTGCAACAACGGAGCTCGTTTCTGATCATGAAAGACAAACCCTTCTTCACACTAGGAGTCAAGATTCTTCACCATCACAACTTATCCCTTCGCTCCACACCAAACTCAACTCCAACATTCACTGCGTCACCAAAACTCACACAACTCTATTCATGCCAGCTTCTTAAAGTACACTCAGCACGGCGACGAAGAAATACGAGATGCCCCGCACAATCAAAACGTTGACAGAGAAAGTCCCAACTCCACGCCCCTCTGTGCTGGTTGTGTCGAAGAAGAGAAGGCGCGTCGACAGCCTCTCTCTGCCAGTTTGTGCAGTGACTTGACTAGTAACTCACCACTGAAGCAAGAGTAGTAAGTTGAGATTTAGTTAAGGTTAAGCCGCCAGACGTCAGTTCGCTCTTGGGTCGCTTTCCTGCTGGCCTCCGTTTTGAATTGCCTCCGTGGAATTCAGGAGCGCCGCCGCATGTTTCGACGAAGTTTCCATTGATCATTTTGATTTCCTGTTGTCTGTCACGTCAGTGTCCTTCATTTGGCGGGAGAGGTAGGCCGCTCATGGTTAGACAGGTGGATGACGAAGGTGAAATACTTTTCGAATAAAAGTATGTGCGAGCTTCAACTGTTCGATACCACGCAGTTTTCCCCCGAGAAGCGCATCTTGTTGGTTGTGCGGCGTCGTTTCTCAGCCTGTAGAAGCTCTTCTTTCAGGTGATAATCACATTTTGCACGTCTCTCTGGAGATGGTTTCTTGGTTTTTATACTAATTCTAACTTCTTGATTTTGATGAATTATATATCTTTTATCGATTTGTTCTTGTTTAAAGTCATGGAAGTATGAAAGCATGTGAAACAGAACATTTCCGTTTGTGTGGTTGTTCCTCTGCAGAAATCTTGTAGATTGGTTGCAATGTAGTTACCACGAAGCGTTACGTGGGCAAACTGACAAAAGACTATTCGATTCCGTAGCTCTTGGTCGATTGCTTAGATATTTTCTAATTGCAGCTTCCACTTTCTTTTCAGCATTTCAGTCAGTAAATCCAGAAAACCTTCTGCAGCTCAACGATTTGATTTGAAACTCATTGGATCACGAAAGCAGTACACTGGAGACTGGAACAAGATTACGAAATGTTTAGAATTTGTTCAGAGCCATGACGAATTCAGCGCCAGGAGTTGCTGAAAACACTAGTCGGAAGGGTCTTTCGTCGTTTCAGATCTGCTCTTCCCAACCAGGCTTCATTGATCCGCCAATACAAGACATCTGCAAATATCTAGTAAAAGTCCGCTTTCAACCTCAACAATCTGTTGCCATTTAAATTGTTTGTTTGAGCTTTGTTGCAAAGGAGCATGTAAAGAGTTGTTAGAGATCGAAGCGCATGCAGAACCTACAGCATGGTATCGTTATTGACAGAACTTATAAGTGTGCACGGTGCAGCGTGTGTCATTGCAAGTTTGTCCACATTGATATTAGATGCTAACTAGTACAACCTTATAGGTATGCACTAGTTCCGTGAGTTTAACTTCGATGCCTCTTTCTTTTTTGTGTCTTTTTTGTTAATGTTTACTTTGAACATCGTGAGGTAATCATGTTTCAGTACCATTTCCTGAGATTCCAATGTTGATATTGTCTACTTTTCAATGATATGCAAATTATTCCAGTGTCAAGAGTGTCATGCAGATTTTTTTGGATACGTCACCCCATGGTGTTCCATCGCCTTCAATACGAGGATACTCCATTTTTCCTAGACTTATTCATGTAGCTTTCTTTGAATGATTAGATCCACAATTTAATACGCAGTGAAAGAATTCAAAGTTGTAATCTCACAACCTGAACCGCTGGAAACATGTGGAGTGCATATGGTATGCAAGTAATTGAGATGTTATCCCTGTAAGGCTCTTCGTTGTCAAAAAACAGAAATTCTTAAGGTTCAATTCTCGTTATTGTTTGTTCACACATGTTGGGATTTGTTCCACCTAATCATTTATTTCTTTTAGGTTGTGCGGATCCCGCAGTTAGACCATTCAACATTGCAGAGAGTGTTGCGGGCTTTACAGAGGTGGTTAAAGTCTGTATCCTGCCATGAGACACCGGAACTTGAAGTTGTTCCAGTGTTGGCGAAGGTTTATGATACCTTGCTGCAGAAAGATTACGGAAAATCAGACGTGTCGAATTCGTTATTGGACATTATTTTTCTCGTCGAAGATATAAGTAAAGTCACTGGAGGTACATGAAACATTATTCCGTGATATATGTCCTTTGTTGAGTGTCTAGAGTTAATGGTAATACACGCTTCGAGAAACTAATTTTCAACCGTGAGGTCGTCTACATCTAACGTGTGGAGAACAAAGACGTCTCTGTCCATTGGTTGCTGCATGATAGACTCGGAAATCAACGAATCGTGTGTTAGCGACTCTGCACCACGTTATTGATGATGCCCCTGTGAATGTGCTCTCATATGTATTAACCCACATTGTTCAGAATTTAAGCAGCGGGTGCCGAGTTGTAACTTCTTAATGTTTCGACAGGTAAGGAGGCATGTGGAACTTACTTCATTTCTCGTCTTTTGGCGGTTATACGAACGAAATTAGCCTCCGTCAACCTTCGACGAGCGACTGTGGAGACTCTGTGTGTTCTCATCACAAGATGTCCTGCAAACCAACGAGCTCTTTTGGAGCAAAGGGCCCACTGGTGTGTAGTTCTGCTCTTCTGGCTCTGGTTGTGGATGTTTTATCATTTCCTGTTTGGAGAAAAGAAACGACAGTGGTTTCTTCTTCAAATTATCCTATTCTTCCTGTAACATTTCCCATTTTTGTCCGAGTTCCAAGTACTTCTCATAAATGGTCGTTGATGGACTCTTGGATTGGTTGAATCTAAGTTGTACCCTGCAAATGAAAATTCCTCAGTAATCACACAATAATGCACTTCTAAAAATATGTTGAGATTCATCTTATTTGACAATTATTACCTTCCATCACTACATTCATTTTATCTATCGCATCTTCCTCAGTCTGCATCTATTCAACTTTCTCCTGTCGAGATGCGGAGATTTTCAGCTGCAGGCCAGCATAGTGGAGATATCATACCGGCTTTCTAGACAAGATCCTGAGCTTATTTGCTCTATAAAAGACGAAACATATAAATGTGCACTTCAATCGTTACTTAAAGTAAGGCGACCAAATCTCTTGCCTGAAATTCGGAACCTCGTGATGCTGGTGAACAACAACACGAGGCAATTCCGAAGGTCAGTCGTGGTTATTTCATGTACTTTGAATACTGTCGTTGTAAGTATTACTATCATCTGACCAGTGAATTGCAAATTTGTGGAACGAATACAGGCATGTAACTGGGTTCCAAGAAGAATATGTAACAATTTTTCCTGAAAAACAGTTACTACCGTAGTGACTGAAACGAAGTGACGGGAGATCACATTACGATGGTCTATGAAAGCATCTGCTGAACTGTTAGATATCAGATTTTGGAACTAATAAGTGTGCATAAATTTGTGTATGTGATAGTGTCTACTCGCTCGAAAGTGAATGGGTGAAAATAAACGGTCAAAATGTTACTACCGCAGAAGAAAGATGGGTTGACTTTGGGAAAACACACTTCAGCTTTCATGCTCTATCTAAGACTGGCTCAGCTCAGGGTGCAGCAGCAGTAAGTCTCTCTCTCTCTCTCTGACACACACACACGCACACTCTTTCTTAAAGGTATATTTATAAATAATATCCTTAATTTTGTTTCGTATTTAATGCAATAGTTTCTGCTTGCTCTTCGTCACAGATAGATGAATGTTCTCTTGAGGAACTGCTGCAGAGCTTCGATATTCTTGTGCAACCACCTAGTTGTGCATTAAAAGATCTGTAACCTAATACATGAATTGATTGCACCAGTAGAGTTGATTATCTAACACTAATTTGTTTAGCATCAATGTTTTTGATATTCAACTGTTTGACGCTTAAGATGGTTTTGGGCTTCGCTATTGCATACAGCCGGACATGCTCGTGCCTTGTCAGGAGTATAGTTGCTCTGAAATCTTCGATATACTGTATATTGATGTGGTGGGCGTTAGAGGTAAGTCCCATTCCAATCGACACTCCTGACTTTTTAGAGAATTTAGATCCTAACTTAAACATATCGAATCTAGTAGAGTAAGCTCAAGGAACTCTTCATTTTTGTGGATCAGAATCATATAATGACTTTCATTTCGAATTTGGGAAGTAGCTCCTGTCCTTGTTCTATTGTGTGAAGAACATTCTCTCAGAGAGTAGCAGTAATTGTTATTACCACTCAGTGCCTTTGGGACAGTCTCACTTGTTTTCATGGATACTATTGAAATAGGGTGCGGAAGCGTGGACTGTAACTATGCCCAACAGAATAATAGGACATTGCTTTGAGTACAACTTAATATTGACGATCTAGTGTGGATATTTATGGAGAACGTGAACAATCATGACATTCTCAAGCTTGTGCATTGTTCGCTTTCAAAGCATCCGACCTAATCGTAAATTGATGAAGTTTGCTTCTGCAGAATCTACGCCCAAGCAGTTGGAGATAACCGTCAATGGGCAAACCAGTTTGCAGACATCTGTAAATGTGAGAAGATCAAGAAATATGTGCCTATTTTGAGTTGAAGTTGTCTTGACATTGTTTCTAAGCAGTTAGATATAATACACCGCAATTTATCTTCTCGTTGTCGTTTTAATATTACTGCCCAAACATGGAACCCTTCTCTGTAGGAACAAGCGCTGCAAATCAAACGAACGCTTATCCAATTCTCGTTTGCAGAAGAAGGTATATAAGCAATGAATTTTCGCTTAAGGCAACCTTATAAATCTACGAGCAGTTGGGTTTGGGAATTTCAGTAGTCTAGGATAATGCCCAAACATGCTGAAGTATGCTGAGGGATTGTCAGATCCTGTTACAAGACTTTAGGGCGAAATGCAAAATAAGATTTTCACTTTACATCCAGTAAGTGAATGACTGATGTGTTTGCACTTGGGTTGCAGACATTCTTTTACTGGGAAAACACGTCTTGCCCAGGATTCTTCCAATGAGGGTGAGTCTCAAAATGTTTTCTTAGTCGTATAAGATTGAATGCTATATTAAGGTAACTTGTAAAGAAGCTGGTACGCATGGATATTGTATTGACATGTTTTTGTTCTTTGTAGACCAAAGCAGCCAACATTAAACCCTGTAAGACGTCACAAGATATATCAAAGGGATGCATCATTCGGAAGTCTTCACAGGGCATTATCATTCCTACGCATGCGAGCAAGGATGACGTCCGAGCGCAAACTGAACCAAGTGTCCATTTACCATGTGTCACCAACTGTATGAAACCAGCCTCTTGTTCTAACGAAGTTCCACCGAAAAATGCTTTAGAGGGAGAGAATGATGAGCCGAGGGCAAGTAATCTGCATCCGGAACAAACTTCTACTGTTGATTGGGAGACTAGAGTAGACGAAAACCCTACGAAGAAGCTTTCATCATGCGCACAGATAATTGAGGAAGCTTTATCATTATCATTGTTCAACAGAATTTCACCCGACCTGCAATGCGAAGATGTAAAAGAAACTAGTGTGGAGCTTGCGACTAACATCAAAGGGCCGGCTGAATTTATATCAATGAATAGTGGCGATATACTATCTGCAGCCGAACTATTACGAGAAGAAATTCCCTTTCGTATCTCACCCTCGAAGAAAGTGAATGTTCAACTGAAGGGGGCAGGACCGAGTGGCACCTTGGACGTATGCCAACATCGTCGCTTGCGGATGAAACCAAGTTGCAATCCCCGACAAGGCAGCGAAGTCGGAAAATTTCAATCGCAAAACCAGGCTGTACCAGTAGTTCCTCAGAAAGGAGCCTATTTGCGAAGACGCAAGCGCAACATCGTTACCAGCACTGTTGATGTTAAATACTATCAAGAAGAGAAAAAGCCAAGAAACCTTGTAAAAAATAACGGCAATCATCATTCTAGTGGCGGAAGTGGATCAGAAATAGGTCTAGAATGTGAAGAGAAGAAATCGAAAAGTTTTAGTAGACTGACAAATAATCATCACGAATCAAACATTGAGAAGCTTGACGGGAGGGACGCTGTCAGTGTGCAGAAACTTGATGAAGCTGTCATATCGAATGTGACACAGTTAGGTTGTAAGCGACTTCACAGACTTACAATGCACTCTCACAGTGTCGAGTCTGCCCAAAAGGGAAATTCGGTAACGTTGTGTCTACCTACTGTACGTAACCAAACCAATACTCGCAGTGAATTCTCATTCTCCGAAGCTACGCTGGGCTTAGATTCACGAGGTGACAATCGCAAACGAAGACGGTCAGAAACAGAAGCGGTGGTAATAGGCCCCGAGAGAGAGCAATTTGTGCTCGATTCCTGTACCAGCATCCGGAGAGCAGATTTGTCCATAGTGAAGCGTCAAATAGGTAGGCCGAGAAAGGTAGATACCAGGGCTTTAAATCATCAAGCAATGGCAGACACTAAATCTCACCAAGTATATTCAAACCCCTCACCAGAGGTTCATCTAGACCAGCAACTTGATGCAGCCGTAGCGAACGACATCCAGAAAATGAATCCGAAGCTTGCACGGAATTCAAATACAACCACTCGAGAACAAGATTTGATGGCTTCCGCAGAAAAGGTTCAAACCGTCAAGCGTCCAAGGGGTAGACCGAGGAAGGTACTGGACTCTACAGGTATGAGCCACCAAGCACTTCCAGACAGAAAACATGACACCGTGTGCTCGCCTCCCACATTGAAGGTTGCTCTAGATTTGCAATCGCACAGAGCAGTACTGGACAGAGATAAGCAGGGAATTAAGATGTCTCCAGATGCATCTGAGAAGAGAGAAATATTTCCTGCCGTCAGTTTAAGAGAGGAAAATCCAGCAGGCGAAATTCATGTTGTTGAACAATCGAAAGCGAGTTCCGATGAGGTAATCCGGACGACACTAAGCAGTGAAAATATGAGGATGTTTCAACGATCGGGAACTGAATGCGGAAAGAGAGCTGCATTATCAACAAGCGGAGGAACATTGAAACTGAAAGAGAATGAGAAAGTCTGCTCCAAATTCGAATCTCCAGTCATGAGTAAAGGTCCTGCACTACCTTCCACAGGAAATCCCGATATCCACGTCTTAGAATCATCCGACCAAAGGAAGGGACTTTCCTCTCAGAGAAACACACTGACGTCCAGCAACACTTCCACGCGGCAGAATGAAGAGGTAACAATTGACCACAGTTATATCCATTCAAATATTTTGCCCGATGATGGGAAAGCCCATGTCCATGCACCGAAACTTGTTCACGTTGATCAGGCAGATGTTAAAAATGACTCTCCTCTCGTAGACAAAACTCATACAAGTGATTCGTATGACGAGGGGGACAGACCAATTAAAATACTGCAAGTAGAGCCTCCCGACGATAAGAATCTGAGTCCAATCACAATGAGAGGATCAGGCCTCGTGTCATCGGAAGCTAAAGTCCACGACCCTTGCGCAATCACTCCACTTGTAGATGCAGAAGAGTTCGAATCTCCAGTTGCCGCCAGGGCATACAAACCACGTGATGGTTCGGAAACGATAGAAAAATCTCAGTTGCTCAGAGATGATGGACTGGGGTCATCAATCTGTACCCCTAACCTGAATAAAAACAATCCATCGGCGAAAGTGGTTGCCAAAGAGAAAAGTCCTTCATACTCGCTTGAAAGGTTGCCGGAAAAGAATGCGGGAAACAAATCGAAGGAAACCCACTTGTTGACGAAAGTAACAGAGAATTTTGACCTCAAGAACGAGTGCAAAGCGGCTGAGATGGAGAAAGATGTTGACCTATACTATTCGACCCCTGTATCAGCTGCTCGAAAACGAAGAATTGCTGAACATTCACCACCTGACTTATCAAGCAGCAGCGGGTCATCATGCGGCATGGCTTACAAAGGCAAAGCAGGTCGAAAACGAAGAACCTTTGCAGATCGTGACTCAGTCTCCGAATCTGAAGATTGGGAGCGAGTTTTTGTATCCTCATTGTTCTATAACCGTTTCCATTCCTTCCACTTTTTCCTCTCACTTTTCTTTCTTCCTTCCTTTCTTCTTCTTTCGTGTAAAACAATCCAAATCATTTCTTCCTTCCTTCGATGTGCTATCTCCTTCATTACAATAACATTTGAAATTTCATGTATTTGTCACTGGGAAACCTGGGTACTAAGAGCTGTCCTTAACTATATGTGCTCTAAGATGAGTAATGCGCGATCCAGATCTGGGATGATTTCATGCCCGGGAAATGGAAACAAGATTAAGATTGCCGACTCCGTCTCACATGCCCATGATAAGTTGCTACCAAGGGGTGAGAAATACGATTTTGATGTTTCCATGAATCCCACATTGATGAATGTTGTGCAATATTTTTTGCAATTTTAGTGAATTTGAATCAGATCCAACATCATTTATCTTTCACCCGAAAATAAACTAGTTTTTTCCGGTATGACAGAAAATATGGTACTTTTATTGGGCCTTCTATCAGCAAGAGCACATGATCTTTTGCAATATTTTCCTCTTCGTTCTGAGAATTTTATGCTGAAACTTTGTATTCCAGGGGATCTGCCGAAGTCCAGGAATCAACCATCCAAGCGATCTAAAGGCCCTAAAGTGAAATTTACTATTCCTTTGGCAGCTCAGCACAATGACGGTGATGGCATGAATTGCGTCAGTCGAGGGAAACCCGACCCAATGTTCAGTTCAGAACTGTTTACCAGTGAGTTCACGAAGTTATTCGCTTAAGTGATCTTTTAACGACTAGTAGGAAATGACATTCGATAATGAACTAATTGCTTAAATTCCGTACATATCATGAGCCACGCACACTTCAGCATCACCTTCTTCCTACAATACCGCTGTTTGCTGTAAATTCCTTGCAGGTATGATGTCTAAAGTTGCGGCCGGATCCGACTCGGAAAACGAGGATGAAGATGGATTAACTAGGTAGTTTATTCGATTTGATTACGATTTTTTTTTTTTTTTTTTTTTTAATTCTGCTAATCGCGCCGTTTACTTGCACAAGTATGTCTCTGAGTCGCCACGAATTTGTACACCTGAAAACATGAGGGAGTGATAAATAGCCAAAATTTCTTTCTATAATCCTCCATCATGTATGCTCACAGAGAAGTATGTGGCATTCCAGAGGACGGCAGGCTGCATATAAGCTTACCTTCTTTGTTTACTATGTTGAAGTCCAGGTCGGTTAAGATGGTCGAAAAGATGCTGGAGAGTTTTCGGCGCAAGGTGGAGGTGCAAGTCAAGGAGAAGACGAACCAAGTCCTGGATAACGTGTTGCAGGATCTCAAGTCGGAAGTAGACTCTTTCAATTCTCAAGTTCAGCAAGATTTGTAAGTCATGTTTAGGGGCTCTCTTGCTTAGCTTGGTGGAATTGTATTCTCACGAATTCATCTGTCATGTGAGCTCGGCTCTCACAAAGTTGGTAGCTCCGACCTTCTTACTAGATCTCTGCAGGGATGATTTCGTGAATATCTGCACGAGAAAGTTTGAGAAGCTTGAGGCGAAAAGGCATGGTAAATCCTTCATCAAGAAAGCGTCTTGAATTGTTTTTTTTTTTATCAACTTCGTAACTTCACCATGAGGTTAAAAAGAAATTCTTGGATCCTCGTATGATGTTGAATGGTAGCTTGAGCATGAATTTCATATTGATTATCAGATGGTGCTATCCACACCATGAGTTTGAGCATATTTTTGTTGGTAATCAGCACATCTAGAGAAGGGAAGGATATGGCAAGAAAAGATCGCTCAAGAGCTCAAAATTCATGTTCAAGAATCGAAGGACCTCTTCTGCGATGTAAAAATTACTGAGGCTGAGCTGAAGGCCATGGCCGAAAAGCGAAGTGAGATCTCTTAGCAGACTTGTGATAATGATATTAATTTCTTGAGTTGCATGAGTATGATTTTCTTTTACAGGAGCTCGAACAAATAGCTCAGACCCTCGTATAAACTACCTTCCACAGGATCAGGGCAAAAGAGTACATTATGTCAGCTGCAAGAAAAATTCCAACAGAACGTTGAAAATGCCGGTAAAAAGATATGTGCAATCAAAAAGGTACACTCCAAATATCTTTTCAGCTTGAAGGGTCTGCATTATGATTAGTTGCGTCATGTTTAAATAGGTGTCGTGAAACAGGCGCAATTTGAATGTGTGGCAAACGACGTCGCGAGATTTTCAATTCAAATTCACAGAATGGTCATTTGCGAGTGGCAATGTTATTGGTGAATATGCTGCTCAATGCATGATTGTAGTGATAGCTTCTAGCGGTCGATCTGATGTACCTATTAGAATCCTGATGTTCTTGGAAACGAGTGAAGTATTTCTCTGTTTTGACACTTTAACACTGATGCTCTTCATACATGTGTAGAACGCCGAACAATTACATGGATTGCGAGACATCTTGAAGGGTTGGGTGTAGGAGTATTCCCTTACAAACGGGCACAAGATTCTTTAGACCATGTCAGAGTTGGACTCGTCGACAAGAGCTGGTGCATAGAGGGAATGGGATCGGACAGGAAATCAGACGTTGTGAAAAGTTTCTAAGAGAAAAAATTGCTGCTCATATACAGCCGATTTTAGAAACAAACAGTAGCTTTTAAGTATTTCCACATGTACAGTGCACAAGTACTTTGGTGAACACATTGCACACCAAAGTCTCAGACATTAGCAAAACTCATTGCTCATGAACAACTGAGCAGTTTTTGAGCAATTTTTGAATTCCTGTTCATCAAGCCCACAATTACTTCCTCTCTGAGGATCTCAGTGTTAGAATATTCAGTCAATGAAATCTGGTTAGGTCTTCGTCATAAGAGTTTTGTTAGGTTTCCATTTTTTTTCATTCATCACAAAGATTTGGAGGACCATCATTAAAAGTGCATATATCCTAGTCATGTCTTATCTCCCGGTCTTGAATTACCTTTGTAACAAGGCTCAAAGCAATGTTAGGTCGTTTATTTTGTAAAATCTTTTGATTATCTCTTAAATTCACTTCTCTTTTGATGGTTCAAAAGGATAGTGTTTAGATTTTAAAAACTATCAATGATATGCCTCTAGCAATTGGTACTGAATCAAATATAAGACATGTTAGGAATATGAGAAGGAATGTCAAAAGATAGATATAGAGATTTTCTTTTTAGGATGATACTTAAAATCATAATTTATATAAAAAATAGTATAAATGGATATAAGTTTTTTAGTAATCTTGATCTTTTTTGATTTCGAGACATTGAAAGTTTATTAAAAGGTCTTTTAAAATTTTAAGAAGGATCTATAGAAAGGTTTTTTTAGAACATATCATATTATATTAAAAAAATTAGAAATTAATATTCATAGAAGATATTCATATAAACTTTTTATTTGTATGAAAAGTGCACTAACTTTTGCTAGACAAGTAATAGAGTGGAGTTGTAAGTATGTAGAATATCAACTTCATCAGGTAAGGAAATAAAAAAATGCACAACCACATTAACAAGCTTTAAGACAAGAAGACCAATTTCTCTATAATGATTGGAAGTAAGATGATCTAGGTAATTGTCATCTCATTTGTGAATTTCTTTACATAACACATTGTGTCACAAACATACATAAATCAGATATGTTAAATAAAAGATAAATTTATATAGATTTGATAATAGCTTCTAGCAAAGCTTTTTAAAAGCTTCATAGATGCTGATTTGATTTAATATATATTTGAAGTTGATAGTAGAGTATAAACTTGGCTAAGAAATTAGCTACATATTATAAATATTGGTGGCTTGTAATACAAGCTAATGCTCTGATATACATGTAAGAAGCTTGTCTTGCAAGATAAACATGTCTCTTGTAAGTTGGATATATATTAGAGGTCCTATAGAACGTCACCATGTAATTCCTAATTAGATAGTATAAATAGAGGCAAGAATTAAGCATTTTTCACTCTTACCAATATTTTTATTGTTCTTAGACTTGTTTTAAGAGATTCATTTTTTTTTTTTTCTTTAGCAATAGCTATTCTAATTCAATATTATACCATCTTTGAGTGATTATATATCCTATTTGAATAATAAAAGAGTATATTGACTCTTTGGTTCTTTAAAATTCATGTCCTTGATAATTTAATAAGAATGTTAACTTATTCTTATTGATTTTTTTTAGAAGTCAATAGATTACTTCACTTCTTTTGTTGTGTTTTGAAAGTTGTAGACCACCCATCTTTAAATTAATGTTTTAGTTTTCTAACATTGATTTTTTTCTTAAAAGAATAGATTATTTTTCTTTTTAGAAATTTTTATTTGATATTAGAGGTTGTAAGTTATCTTCCTCAAATTTGACTTGTAGATTTTTTTGAGTTTTTGTATAAAAAAAATAAACTATGGATGTTATTCTTGCTAGAAGTGTTAATAGATTTTGTAACTATTGCATATCTTTACAAGCTTGTCAACTCTCTTAGAGTGAAAATCTTACATATTTTTAACATCAACCATAGACATATTATTTTGTTGCCTATGGAAGAAATTAACAATGAAGTTGAAAGTCTAGGCCAAAAAATTTTGCAATTGAGAGAAGCAAGTAAATCAAACTCATAACTAAATCCAAAAAGCCTTCCTATTATAAATATGAAGGAGGTAAGGATAAATATATTGGAGAAGTTTAATGGAATAAGATCAAAGTTTTAAAGATTTTTACAACAAGTAAAGCTTTATCTAAGGTTTCATTCTTCTCAATACTCTAATGGATTTACTCAAGTTGGATTTAAAAGTGCACTTTTGTCTAGATTTGCTCTCTTTTAGTTTACACATTTGATGGAAAAAGATTTATGTCTTTTTTATGATCTTTATTCATTCTTAGAAGTATTTACAACCACTTTTTGTGTAATTTTAAGAGTCTCTAGTCATCTTGTCTTTGAAAAAAGTCTTTTGAGTTTTTTCATAAATATACATAATTTTTTAATTTTTTGAAATATTTTTTTCATATATATCTTATTTTTTTAATTTACATTCTTTTAATTCTTTTCTTTTATACCAAGTTTTAAAGATCTTTATAAACAAGTGGTTTTGTTATCTTTACATTCAACAATCAAACTCATAGCAATAATACTCACTATTGTATTCTAATACAACTATTGGATGAAAGAAATTATATATGTATATATATACATATTATAGAAGATTTTATGTTAAAAAAATAGTAGAAAATTACTTTAAAAAATATAGGTAAAGGTTAGAGAGATAATAAATAACAATTTAGTATTAATTTTTTTATGTGAAAAAAATTCTATTTATTTTATAAGGCTATAAACAAGACAATAGAAAGTAGGTTTATAAAAATAATATTATAGAAATATTTAGGTAAAATTAAAGAATAGATTTTATGAAAAATTGGCTAGATAAATCTTATATTGATATCTAAAGAGAATTAATTTTGAACCAAGGTCAAAACTAGAGTGCAAGGTACAAAATCATGCACCTAGAACAAATGTAGGATTTTTTTATTAATTGGATATAGAAATTAGGCGGAAAACTTCATAGGATTTTTTCAAGTGTTTGATATATGGAATTCAAGTAAACATTGACTATTTGAAAGTTTTTCAAAGTCAAATTTTTTTTAGATAATTTTGTTTTTTTTTTGTTTTTATGGAATAAACCAGTTACATTTTTATAAATCGTATGGCTTTTGTAGCAAATCTACAAATAAAAAGTTGTGGATATATGAATATAATTGTGCTAATTGTAAATTAAGTTTAATTAGATGGTTTTACTAAAGGTTTTTTTAAAATTTTAGTAGATTAAGGTCTCAAAAATTAGATGTTAAAGGTTGGTGAAAGTTTCTATATTTTTGAGCTATTTTCTTATTGGATTGAAATGATTTTTTTTTTTTTGTGAGCTAATAGTTGATTTAATTTTTAATATTTATGAAAAATTTCAGATCAAGTGAATGGTGCAAAAATAATATCTTGACATTAGAAGATTGATATCATGGTTGAAAAAAGAAGATGGCTAACATTTTAAAAAAAATAAAACCTTTTTCTTTCAATTTGTAAGTTTTTTTTTCTTCAGATATTGTGTATTTGTTGTTAAATAGCAGATTAGAAAGTTTAAAAATTTAAAAATAATATTGATGGTTAATTTAATAATTTATTTAATATTTATTTTTATAAATAATTTAAATAATAATATTTAATATTAAATAAACTTAATATCTATTATTAGTAGCTTATCAATATTAATTTTTAATTATAAGCTATCCGTAGTTCCATGCTTAAAACTAAGAACTATACATAAATAAATAAAACTCAAACAATATCCATCTATTTTCATGTATTCTAAAGAATTTAAAACTATTCTTTAGCTTTATAATAAATTTTGATAAAATATATAATAAAAATAAAGAAAAAATTTGCTTCTATTTAAAAAAAATTAAAAATAAAAAATGGGCACAAAATTAATTTGTTTATAAAACTTTGAATGTAATAGCAAGCAATAGAGTATCTATTGTCTATATAAAAATAAAATTTATTTCTATTACTTCTACTATCTTTATACTATCACCTATATTGTGAATCAGCTAAAAGCATAATTGATATTGTTAAAAAGCTATTAATTAAATAGAAATACATTTGATATTGTTAATATATCCCAAGTTCTAAACCTAATACTATGTATTTTCAAAAAGTAATGTCTAATGATACATGTCATATTAGTCTATATTATTAAACTTGATGTATATTTGTTTGTTGTTTATTTGATTTGTAGGAACTTTTTGATAACTTGTGACTTGAGCTATACTTAATATTGTTACAAAGTTCTTAGAGATCATGAGTGCATACAAATTTGATCTTGTATGATTCAAAGATATAATGATATAAAAGTTATTAAATTTTAAAATATTATCTAATTAAAAAATAAATAAAAAATAATTAAAATTATATTGGAATTACAATTTTGCCACTTCTAGCTTTAACAATCTTTGATCATGTACCACCAAATTATACAAATCATGATAATTAATAACATTCATGCAACTAGCATCCAAATCATGAAATTGTAAACCATTTTTACAACAAGATAGAAAGACATCATAAAAAGCAAACCATGATTTATATGAATATAAAGAACCTAAACATATTTACAACTTAGTAATCTTATCTATTTTATTTGAGACATACCATTTAGTAACTTGAGAGAAGTCTTTGCACAAAGTGTACTATTTTAGCATATTTTGCATTCTTGAGGTATAACATATAATTGAGTATCATCTTTATGGCCTATCTTTATGATGAAAAATTATTCAAAATTTAATAGTTAAAAATACTAACTTAGTTGTTGAATATTCACCTTTTTCATAATTTTCTAGCTATTAGAAATCATAAATAAAATAAATAGATTATAAATCACATTAAAAGCCATACCTTATCAAAAAGGTGCAATTCTTTTGAATGTACATTCTTTAACAATATAAACTACATGTGTTAATACATACAATAACAATATTTATTATTCAATATTAAATATAATATTTAATATAAATCCTGCTTTTAAATTCTAATATGGTATCAAAGATTCTTATTTTAGAATTTTTAAATTCCAATGTGTTAGACACCATGCCCACTTTGTTTTTTGTTGTAGTGCTTTATGGATACTAATCCAAACAACATTCATTCAATTCTCATATTTCTATTCATATGATTGCTAGTACAAATCAATTAATTTTTTTAAAAAAAAATATGACAAATAAGCTCACTTTTGTCATTGCCATCTTAACCATATCAACACCTAAAAACAAAATCAATTCATAAAATATAAGGCACTTACAAGACTCTCTCTCAAACAAG